ATATCCCTACACATGCACCAAACTTTATGGAACCATACACCCCACCACAACATTTTCTTAACTTCGAAAGTCACATCCAACAACAAGACCTAGAGTATGGTCATGCGTTGGACAGAGAGTCTTTTGTTTCTCCGGCAGAAACTTTATTTCTTGGACAACGTTTCATAAAAAAAAAACAAGTTCAAGATGCCATCAACCGCTTTCACATTGTCAATCACTACACATACAAGGTGAAAATTTCAAACCAAAGTAGATATGTTGTTGAATGTGTTGATAACCAATGCAATTGGAGATGTCGAGCAATATTGCGCACAAGAGAGCAATATTGGGAGATTATGAAGCTTGAAGGGCACCATACATGCGTTTCGCCATTAATCAGCCAAGATCACAACAAGTTGGGATATAAAATGATTTCCCAAACAATTGGTCAAATAATTGATGCTGATTCGTCAACACCAATCTCCACAATCATAGCCCACATCCAATTAACAACAGGTTACACTATAACATACAGGAAGGCTTGGTTGGCCAAACAAAAGGCAGTGGAGACCATCTACGGCAATTGGGAGGATTCGTATAAGAAGTTGCCTTGTTTGTTACAAGCCATGCAACAATTTGTTCCCGGATTCATCTACAAACTGCAGTCACAACCAGCTTACCAAGATGAGGTCCTTCAACAAAATTCAAATATTTTTAAGCGTGTGTTTTGGACATTTAGGTCATACATAGATGGATTTGTTCACTGTAAGCCTATTGTTCAAGTGGACGGAACTTTTTTGTACAGAAAATATAGAGATACCTTGTTGGTTGCAGTAGCACAAGATGGCCGCAACAACATCCTCCCCATTGCGTTTGCGGTGGTTGAAGGTGAAACAAGTGATGTCTGGTTTTTTTTCTTAAAAAACCTCCAAAGATATGTCACACCCCAGCAAGGATTATGCCTCATATTAGACCGACATGAATCCATTATAAGTGCCTACATGAGAAATGGAAGCGGATGGACAGAAAATAATTCGGTGCATGTCTACTGCATTAGACACATTGCACAGAATTTTATGAGACGTTTCAAAAACACCGTATTAAGGAAAGATGTTGTAAATATGGGTAATTTGTTTGCTTCAAATTTGTTACAATTTATTCATTATTTAACTATTGCTAATAAATATTTATATTAACTATGTTTTTTTAATATTGTTGTAGCATATGGGATGACTGAACCACGATTCTACTATTATTACAACATGTTGAAGCAATGTGACATAAATGCAGCTAATTGGTTGGATGGGATACCTAGAGAAAAATGGACACTTGCATGGGACAATGGACGGCGTTGGGGCCACATGATGACCAACATAGCAGAGTCTATCAACTCTGTTTTGAAAAAAACAAGAAATCTACCTATTTGTTCCATGATCAATGCAACGTACACCCGTTGCAACAAATTTTTCATTGAAAGAGGGAGGCAGATAAATGTTATGATCAATGCTGGTCATGTATACTCTGAAATTTTAGTCACAAATTTAGAGAAAGCACAAATACAGGAAAACACGCATAGGGTCATAACTTTTGACATATCTACCACAAAATTTGTAGTAGAAGAAACACAAAACCCGCGTGAAGTTCGACCAGCAGGAAAGTTTGCAGTTCGCCTTGATGAGTTGTGGTGTGACTGTGGGAAATTCCAGAAATTTCACATGCTTTGTTCACATGTTCTTGCTGCATGCAAGCATGCACACCATGACTTCAACAACTACATTCATCCAGTGTATACCTTACAACAAGTTTCAAAGGTATACGAAACACAATTTGGGTTGTTGCGAAATGAAGAATATTGGCCAACATACATAGGACCTACTTTGTGTGCAGATCCAGAAATGAAAAGAACTTCAAAAGGCCGACCAAAATCAAGTCGTATAAGAACTGAGATAGATATTATAGAAAATCAAAGTAGGATTAAAAAATGTTCATATTGTCATACCCCTGGTCATAGCAGAAGAACATGCCCTAATGTTGCACGTGCATCTACTTCGCATCATTAGATTATGTTAGTTAAGAAATGCTCCAATGTATGAAACTTACGAGTTTTTCAATTAATAAAACTTCTTCTTTGCAAAGTGGGGATTACCTACAATGTAGTAACTCATGGACTCATTTGTTCTTACAATAAGGATAACTATATTGATAAAAATTCATAATAGGAATACTAGTTTTTTGCATGAATTTTTAATATCCTTCACTTTAGTCCTTTTGCTGTTCAATCTTGTTCATGGCTGAATCGAAGATATGCTGACAAGTTGCAATTTTCAGTCCAGGGAGTGTATAACTTAAAATTATCAAGGACAAATTTTTTAATATGAAAATAATTAGATAAGTCTTTGCAGATTTTATGAAACAATTATTTCAATCAGCTATCGCTTGAGCGAAATTACCCATCACTTGAGCGAAATAACACCTTAGATTACCCATCGCTTGAGCGAAAAAACACCCGAGATTACCCATTAGTTGCAGGTTTCCTCGCTCAAGCAATGAAATTCCCGCTTGAGCGAGAGTTGACCACAGGCTAAAGCTTCAACGCACTTAGCCACATAATGTAACTTGGGTCACCACAAAATTCAATCAGTTCTCGCTCAAGCGAAATTACCCATCGCTTGAGCGAGAATTGACCACATGCTAAAGCTTCAACGCAGTTAGCCACATAATACAATTTGAGTCACCATATATTTCAATCAATTCTCGCTCGAGCGAAATTACCCATCGTTTGAGCGAGAATTGACCACAGATTACCCATTAGTTTCAGGTCTCCTCGCTCAAGCGATGGATTTCTCGCTTGAGCGAGAGAGAAATAATCGGTGATAATTTTAAATATTCGATTATTTTAAAATTATGATCGATTAGTTTAAATTATAATCGATTATAAATTTTCTCGCTCAAGCGATGGGTTCCTCGCTTGAGCGAGAATTGCCCACATGTGTTTAAGTTAGCCAATCAGTTCTCGCTTGAGCGAAATTACTCGTCGCTTGAGTGAGAATTGACCACAGGCTAAAGGTTCAACGCAGTTAGCCACATAATGCAACTTGGGTCACCACATATTTCAATTAGTGGTCGCTTGAGCGAAATTCCCAATCGCTTGAGCGAAAAAACACCCGAGATTACCCATTAGTTTGACCTCTCCTCGCTCAAGCGAATGATGTCTCGCTTGAGCGAGAGCTCTTCTCACTCGAGCGAGAATTTTTTCGTTCGAGCGAATTTAAATCCCACAAATCCCTTAAGTTTCAAGTACTCTCGCTCAAGCGATTCATTTCTCGTTTGAGCGAGAGAAACATGAATAGTAAACAGTGCTACTTTCGTAAATAATATTCCAAATATGCTATTTTAGATTTTTTTTTTTAAATAGTATTATATGTGAAAAAAAGTCAATGAGGAGTTGTATAAATAAATAAAGTGCAAAGGAAAGCAATTACCTACTAGGCCTAGGACTTTCAAACACGAGACGCTCCTTTGACCCAGTTCATTTTTTATTGGATCGTGTCAAATGAGCCCATCTCGTATTCTGCATTATTCACATTAAATTACATCTTTTTATAAAATTACAATGCAAATTGATCTTATTGATAACAAGATTTGGAGCAAGTTTTATTGCCATGAAGAACAAAATGGATTTATGTTTACGATAGAGAAAAGAGTAACATACTTTAAAATATCATAAAATAAAGACAATAAAACTTTTTTTGGTAAACTCAAATATTTATGTCATCTTTAAAATATATATACTAGTGTCCCATCATTTTTTTTTCAACTTATTCAGTATAAGTTATTCTAATTAAAATAAATTGTTACAAAAATATATGATTTTTCTATGTCAATAGGATAATGTGTGAATCATGTACATCAATTAACTATTTTTGTTGGTAGATAAGAAAAATATTTACCCTATTAATAAAATTATTTAATATTAGTATGATTAGTACAAATAAAAATAATAAAAGAAGTATAATATAAAATAATTTACACCAAGAATATATTTTGATTAAATTAATAAGAGTAACATTAATAATTTTATATATTTTTTATTAAAATCTTCTTAAAATAACATTTATTATTCATGTTAATAATATATATTAAATATAAACTCTAAATCCTAAATTTATAAATCTAAAACTAAATTTAGATAATATATAATATATTTAATTAAATTATTTATAATATACATTAATTATTGAAATAAAATACAATTGCGAGTTAACATCAATCGATGTAAGATTTGTATTGTCTAAAATGTTTTCTTATAAATTTGAGAGACATTCATCTTAAAATTTATAAATTAAAAAAATATAATAAATTTATTAAATTTTATGGTGTTACAAAATATTTTTTCTTTAATATGTTCAAATAAATATAAAGGACATCAACAAAAAGAGAATATAGTTAATAAATTAATTGAATTGGAAAAGTGAAAGACCCTCCACTTTCTAATTTGAATATTTTAATTTATATCAGTATTTTACCGTCTCTGTTAATATATATAAAATACTTATTATCAATTCCTTTTCTCTCAAATATTCTAACAATTAATACAAGTTATTATTATTATTATTATTATTATTATTATTATTATTATTATTATATATATATATATATATATATTATAAAAAGATTACAAAGGACTGGATAAATAATAAATAAATAAAAATGGCAAATTAAATTTAGAATTCACACTCACTATTTTGTAACTATTTGACTTCTATGAAAGTCACACGGTTGAGTAGAGCCCCCCTACGGTGCTCTCCACCGCATGGAACAAACTATTCTCCGGAGAAAAAAAATTCCGTTTGTATGTGTTTTTTTTTTACGGCAGAAGTTCCTTATAAATACTTGCTCCGGACTTAACTTTTCCGATACCGTGATATACTTCATCCATTCAAGTTGTGCTTGAATTGAAGCTATTACCTTAATCAGTTTTTTAGTTTTCAAGAAAAAGAAAAGAAAGAAAAGAGATAGCAATGGCGCAAGCTCCTGCGGAAGACCATTTTTTCAACACGGCGTTGTACGTTGGGGATCTTGACAGCAGCGTCACCGAAGATCAGCCCTATGATCACTTCAACGTGGTTGCCCAAGTTGTTTCCATTAGAATTTGCAGGGACTCTTTAACTCAGAAATCCCTCGGTTACGGCTACGTCAATTTCAGTAACGTTCAGGATGGTTAGTTTCTTCTTGCATTCGTAAGATTAGTCGCTTTTGTTCTTGGGTTGATACAATTCTTGGCGTTTGTTCTTGCATAGGATTGATCTTCGCTTTTTTTGTTGCATTGCTCGGTGTAGTTGCTTTATAGTTCTTGCATTGATAGGACTAATGGTGGATGCAGCCGCAAAAGCATTGAATGAGCTAAATTTCAGTGTGTTGAAAGGTAAACCCATTAGGGTAATGTACTCTAATCGGGACCCTACTCTTCGTTGGACTGGTGCGGCTAACCTTCTTATAAAGGTGCCTTTTGCAGATTCTTCCCCCTTGATGAGTATTATTGAATCTTTTTCTGCTTGCTCATTGAATCTTGTAATTTCTTGATTGATGGTGCAGAATTTGGATAAGTCAATCGATCACAAGGATCTATTCGATGTTTTTGCGACTTTTGGAAATATTCTATCTTGCAAGGTTGCCAGGGATGCTTCTGGCGTGTCTAAAGGTCATGCTTTTGTGCAGTTTGATAACGAAGACTCTGCAAAAGAGGCTACTGACAGGTTAAATGGCATGCTGCTCAATGATAAGAAGGTCTATGTGGGTCCTTTCATGCGAAAGAAGGATAGAGAGGTTGTTCCTAGTGGTGACGCAAACTTTAGTAATGTTTATGTAAAAAACCTGTCGCATAAAATAATGGATGCTGAGTTGGGGACAATTTTTGGAGAATATGGACCCATTACTAGTGCTGCAGTGATGAAAGATGCAGAAGGTAGATCAAAAGGTTTTGGTTTTGTCAATTTCACAAATGTTGTTGCTGCTGCTAGAGCTCGGGACGCTCTTGATGGAAAGACTTTTGATGGTATGCAGTGGTATGTTGGAAAAGCCCAGAGAAAAACTGAAAGGGAGCTTGAGCTGAAAGAGCGTCATGAGCAGAATTGGAAGCCTCAACCTTATAAGCAAGGTACAAACTTGTATATCAAGAACTTGGACAGTAGTATTGGGGATGAAGAACTCAAGGAAATTTTCTCTGGGTTTGGTACAATAACCTCATCCAAGGTGTGTGAGTATGGCTCTTCGTTTTGTTCGTATCTGCATTTGTCAAATCTTCATCGTCATAAAACGTGTTTATTTTTGCCTGACATGCACAGATTATGCGAGATCCAAATGGAGTGAATAAAGGATATGGATTTGTTGCATATACAAATCCGGAGGACGCAAATCGGGCTGTAAGTATAAAAATATTAGGGACTATCCTTTAATAATTGGCTAGGAGCTTTATTGCTCATAAACAAAATCTGTTAATACTTTTAGCTTGCATCGATGAATGGTCAAATGATTGCTGGCAAACCTCTCTATGTTTCCCTTGCAGAGAAAAAGGAAGATAGAAGAGCAAGGTTAAAGGTAATATACTATGCAGCCACAGGTCGCAGTTAACTCTATGCTTTATTATAATCCTGTTCTGGTCACCTTTAGGAATAAAATTTCCCAAATCCCAATTGGGTAATATTATTAACGTATTTTATGCAGGTACAATTTTCACAAATGAGGATTGCTGAGATGAGACCACAATTTTCGCTAGGTGCACCACCTCGAATTCTAACGTACCCTATGAGGCCTCCTGAGATGACACCACAATTATTGTATGGGCAAACACATCGAGCAATCATAACTCAAGTAATTAAAAAAACTTGATATCGCTGGTTTTTCAGTTTTCATTTTGATGATGTCATATTATTAGGAGACCTCCGTCTTGGAATAAAATGTGAATTTCACCTTCTATATTAGCTTGTGAATTCTTCATGGTTCAGTTGGTCTTGCGTTTTTACTCGTGCATAACCTGCACCCGACCTACATTTTAAGTTTTAATGATTCAGTTGATTGTGATGTATTCTGTATTTCTGTTCCTCCTGCATTGGTGATGTGTGTTGCAATATTAAATGAACATTTGATCTCCATTACAGATTGCATTTGGTTTCCAGCAACAGTTTTTTGGTGGAGGGACGGGTCCAGCGCCAGTCTTCTATCCAGTTCTTCTGCCGCCGCCCAGAGGACCCCAAGAAGCAGGTCCTATGCGATTGCCAATTTTACCCCAACAGGTCTTACTCTGCATTCCATTGGTGATTCCTTTGTATTTTCCGTTCTCTATTGCTGATGTGGATACTTGTTGCTGTGGTTTTCAGATGGGTCCAAAGGGACCTATTTATCATAATCCTCCTCCTGCCCCCAATGCTCAAAATATTCGTCCGGAACCGAAAGGAACAGCTGAAGAAATGCCCCCTTTTATTGGCACTGGTCAGCCAATGCCAATTTAGGCCCTGGCAGCAGCCGTTGCCAATGCTACTACTCCTGATCAGCAGAGGATTGTAAGACCTGTTTCTGGCGTGAGTTTCAACACATTTGGGTTGAGTACTAATTGTCTTATAAACTCTCTTGTGAATGGTTTTTGCAGCTGCTTGGGGAAACTTTATTCCCGTTAGTAGAAAAGCTGGTGCGTGATGCAGCACCAAAGGTTACTGGTATGCTTTTGGAGATGGACCATGCTGAGGTATTACATCTGATTGAGTCACCAGATGCTCTAGACACAAAAGTTACTGACGCCATGTATTTGTTGAGAAAATTTGAAGAGATCAAACAATCGATCGACCAAGTGACTGTCTCTGAAGGACAATCCACAGTTTAAGACTCTGTATGTTAGTTTAGAGAAATTCAAACAGTCATATTTTTGTGTTTATGGCTTTTTCTAGGATTAGTAAACACTCATTGTCGTAGCTTACCGATAGCTGTTTGCTTTTGTTCTCTTTAATACTCTACTCAGTTTGATACTTTTTGCCCAAGTTTTCTTTAAAAATAGCGTAGCTTTCAGCTTTTAACTACCTTTTCATGAATAAGTACAACTGAATTGCAGGACTGAAAGAATATGCTGTTATGGCACGAAAAATCTGTGACGCGACGAAAATGCATTAATGTTATTGAGGAATTGAACATAGAGGTGCACATGTATATCCTATTGCAGGTACGATCATATTCCACTAATTCTTAATAGTGTGTCCATATTTTTCTTGTAACCCTATGGTGTTTGTGTTTGTGTTTTTTTTTCATTTGTCTTATGCAAGTCCATATGTACATCCTATTGCAGGTATGATCCTATTCCACCAATACTTATTAATGTTTCTATACTTCCACTGTCATTCTATTGTGTTTTTGCTTGCGTTTCTTTTATGCAGGTTCAAGTGTACATCATATTGCTGGTATGATCCTATTCCACCAATACTTATTAATATGTCTATACATCCCCTATCCTCTTATTATGTTTGTCTTTGTGTTTGTCTTATGCAGGTGCACGTGTACATCCTATTGTAGGTGTGATCCTATTCCATCAATACTTATCAATATGTCTATACTTCCATCGTCATCCTATTGTGTTTGTCTTATGTAGGTGCATGTGAACATCCTATTGTAAGTATGATCCTATTCCATCAATACCTATTAATGTGTATATACTTCCACTATCATCCTATTGTATTTCTGTTTGTGTTTGACTCATGTAGGTGCATGTGTACATCCCATTGCAGGTATGTTCCTACTCCACCAATAGTTACTAATTTTTCTACATGTCCACTGTCAACTTATTATGTTTATCTTTGTCTTTGTCTTATTCAGGTACAAGTGTACATCCTATTGTTGGTATGATATTATTTCACCAGTACTTATTAATATGTTTATACATCCACTGTCATTCTATTGTGTTTGTGTTTATCTTATGTAGGTGCATGTGAATATTCTACTGTAGGTATGATTCTATTGCACCAATACTTATTAATGTGTATATGCTTCCACTGTCCTCCTATTGTATTTCTATTTGTGCTTAACTTAAACAAATGCACGTATACAATCTATTACAGGTATGATCATATTCCACAAATACTTATTAATGTTTCTTTATGTCTACTTTAAACTTAGTGTTCATCTTTGTGTTTGTCTTATGCAGGTGCATGTGAACATCCTATTGTAGGTATGATCCTATTCCACCAATACCTATTAATGTGTATATACTTACAATATTATCCTATTGTATTTCTGTTGTGTTTGACTCATGTAGGTGCACGTGTACATCCCATTGCAGGCATGTTCCTATTCCACCAATAGTTACTAATGTTTCTACACGTCCACTGTCAACTTATTATGTTCATCTTTGTCTTTGTCTTATTCAAGTACAAGTGTACATCCTATTGTTGGTATTATCTTATTTCACCAGTACTTATTAATATGTTTATACATCCACTGTCATTCTATTGTGTTTGTGTTTATCTTATGTAGGTGCATGTGAATATTCTACTGTAGGTATGATCCTATTGCACCAATACTTATTAATGTGTATATACTTCCACTGTCCTCCTATTGTATTTCTGTTTGTGCTTAACTTATACAAATGCACATATACAATCTATTACAGGTATGATCCTATTCCACAAATACTTATTAATGTTTCTTTATGTCTACTTTAAACTTATTGTGTTCATCTTTGTGTTTGTCTTATGCAGGTACAAGTGTACATCCTGTTGTAGGTATGGTCCTATTTCACCAATACTTATTAGTGTGTCTATATTTCCACTGTCCTCTTATTATGTTTGCCTTATGCAGATGCACATGTACATCCTTTTGCAGGTATGATCATATTCCACCAATATTTACCAATGTGTCTACACTTCCACTATCATCCTATTGTGTTTGTATTTTTTTATTTGTCTTATCCTTGTGCTCGTGCATATCCTATTGTACGTATGATCCAATTCCACCAATACTTATTAATGTTTTTATACTTCCACTATCGGCATATTGTTTTTGTGTTTGTGTTTGTCTTATGCAAATGCACGTGTACATCCTAATGCAGGTATGATCCTATTCTACCAATACTTATTAATGTATCTATACTTTCACTGTCATCCTATTGTCTTTTCATTTGATTTTTTGTTTGCGTTTTCTTTTGTGTTTGTTTCTGTGTTTGTGTTTTTATTTTTGTTTGTGTTTTTTTTTGCGTTTGTGTTTGACCTTGAGTTTGTGTTTGTATGATTTTGTGTGTGTTTATGTTTGTGATTGTTTGTGTTTATGTTTGTGTTTGTGTGTTTTGTTGTTCACTAAATTTATGCCGAGCTAGTAATTTTACAAACCCCTCAACCTACAATGAGATAAGTATTTTGGGTCACTTAACCACATTTATTTTCTTTTACTCAATGTTTGTTTTTAATAAGCACAACTGAATTGTAGGACTGAAAGAATATGCTGTTGTGGCACGAAAAATCTGTGACGTGACGAAAATGCAGCTAATGTTATTGAGCAATTGAACATAGAGGTGCACATGTATATCCTATTGCAGGTACGATCCTATTCCACTAATTCTTAATAGTGTGTCCATATTTTAATTGTAACCCTATTTTGTTTGTGTTTGTGTTTTTTTTTATTTGTCTTATGCAGGTCCACATGTACATCCTATTGCAGGTATGATCTTATTCCACCGATACTTATTAATGTTTCTATACTTTCATTGTCATCCTATTATGTTTTTGTTTGTGTTTCTTCGATGCAGGTTCAAGTGTACATCATATTGCTGGTATGATCCTATTCCACCAATACTTATTAATATGTCTATACATCCCTCATCCTCTTATTATGTTTTGTCTTTGTGTTTGTCTTATACAGGTCCATGTGTATATCCTTTTGCAGGTGTGATCCTATTCTATCAATACTTCTCAATATGTTTATACTCTCATCGTCAACCTATTGTGTTCGTCTTATGTAGGTGCATGTGAACATCCTATTGTAGGTATGATCCTATTCCACCAATTCCTATTAATGTGAATATACTTCCACTGTCATCCTATTGTATTTCTGTTTGTGTTTGACTCATGTAGGTGCACGTGTACATCCCATTACAGGTATGTTCCTACTCCACCAATAGTTACTAATGTTTCTACACGTCCACTTTCAACTTATTATGTTCATCTTTGTATTTGTCTTATGCAGGTACAAGTGTACATCCTATTGTAGGAATGATCTTATTTCACCAATACTTATTAATATTTTTATACATCCACTGTCATTCTATTGTGTTTGTGTTTATCTTATGTAGGTGCATGTGAACATTCTATGGTAGGTATGATCCTATTGCACCAATACTTATTAATGTATATATACTTCCACAGTCATCCTATTGTATTTCTGTATGTGCTTAACTTATGCAAATGCACGTATACATTCTATTACAGGTATGATCCTATTCTACAAATACTTATTAATGTTTCTTTATGTCTACTTTTAACTTATTGTGTTCATCTTTGTGTTTTTCTTATGCAAGTGCAAGTGTACATCCTGTTGTAGGTATGGTCCTATTTCACCAATACTTATTAATGTGTCTATACTTCCATTGTCCTCTTATTATGTTTGTCTTCTGCAGATGCACATGTACATCCTTTTGCAAATATGATCCTATTCCACCAATATTTACCAATGTGTCTACACTTCCACTGTCATCCTATTGTGTTTGCATTTTTTTATTTGTCTTATCTATGTGCACGTGTACATCCTATTGCAGGTATGATCCAATTCCACCAATACTTATTAACATTTCTATACTTCCACTATCGATGTATTGTGTTTGTATTTGCGTTTGTCATATGAAAATGCACGTGTACATCCTAATGCAGGTATGATCTTATTCTACCAATACTTATTAATGTGTCTATACTTTCACTGTCATCCTATTATGTTTGCGTTTTCTATTGTGTTTGTTTTTTTGTTTGCTTTTTAATTTTTGTTTGTGTTTATTTTTTGTGTTTGTGTTTGACCTTGTGTTTGTGTTTGTATGATTTTGTGTGTGTTTATGTTTGTGATTGTTTGTGTTTATGTTTGTGTGTGTGAGTTTGTGTTGTTCGCTAAATTTATGTTGAGCTAGTAATTTTACAACCCCCACAACCCACTATGAGTTAAGTATTTTGGGTCACTCAACCACATTTATTTTCTTTTACTCAATGTTTGTTTTTAATAAACGCAATTGAATTGCAGGACTGAAAGAATATGTTGTTGTGGCACGAAAAATCTGTGACGCGACGAAAATGCAGCTAATGTTATTGAGCAATTGAACATAGAGGTGCACACTTATATCCTATTGCAGGTACGATCCTATTCCACTAATTCTTAATAATGTGTCCATATTTTCACTGTAACCCTATTGTGTTTGTGTTTGTGTTTTTTTTTTTTTTGTCTTATGCAGGTCCACATGTACATCCTATTGCAGGTATGATCCTATTATTAATGTTTCTATACTTCCACTGTCATCTTATTGTGTTTTTGTTTGCGATTCTTTTATGCAGGTTCAAGTGTACATCATATTGCTGGTATGATCCTATTCCACGAATACTTATTAATATGTCTATACATCTTGTATGCTCTTATTATGTTTGTCTTTGTGTTTGTCTTATGCAGGTGCACGTGTCCATCCTATTGTAGGTGTGATCCTATTCCATCAATACTTATCAATATGTCTATACTTCCATCGTCATCCAATTGTGTTTGTCTTATGTAGGTGTATGTGAACATCCTATTGTAGGTATGATCCTATTCAACCAATACCTATTAATGTGTATATACTTCCACTGTCATCCTATTATATTTCTATTT